TAACACAACCCAATCTACCCCAAAAACATTCAGGACCACTTTGCAGTGCAACAAGAGATGGTTAACCGATTAGCCTATCTTCTCACACATGCAACACCAATTAACTATTATTTAGCGTCTTCTTCTAATATTATCGAGAGTAAGAATGCTGCCAAGCACTGCTGTCGACATGAAAAAAGCCACCTTCAATGAAGTTGAAGTCCTCCACACAGCCTTCCAAGGGAAGGCATTGCTTATCAAATCCGTAAGGCTTTGGTAAAACAACCTCACCTCAAACACCCCTCTAGAACCCCCCATCCACACCATCTCATCCCTTCCTTCCCCCTCCACCGCTTGACCATAAATTAATCCCATTAAATCTGTAAATTCCAGCAGCTCCCAATCATTGAAATTTCTACGGAATCTCACATCCCAACTAGCCCTCTCATTCTCAAGCCAAAAGTAATCTGCAACCACAGCATAAGTATCCTCAACCATCTTGAAGAGACTAGGGAACCTACAAGCCAACACCACATCCTCACACCATAAATCCTTTGAAAACCTTACATGCCGACCATTCCTAACTCTAAATCGTATCCGCTTAGAGAACTCGTCCCAGCCCCTCCTAATACCTTTCCATGAGCCCATGCCTGCTGATCAAGACACACCTCTAGACATCCAACCACCCTCCTCTTCCCCAAACCGATAAGCAATAACACGCTTCCAAAGCACAGACCTTTCACACCCAAATCTCCATAACCATTTCCCTAACAAAGCTTTATTAAACATTTCCAACTTGCGAATTCCCAAACCTCCTCTTTTAATAGGGGTGCAGACTTTCTCCCATTTCACAAGATGATACTTGAACTCCTCCCCTAATCCCCTCCACAGAAAATTCCCCTAAATCTTATTAAGTCTACTGATCACTGTTCTAAGAATCGGAAACAAAGACATAAAATATGTAGGAAGATTAGAAAGGGTGCTTTTCAACAATGTGAGTTTACCCCCTTTCGACAAGTACTGCTTCTTCCACCCGGATTCCCTCTTTTGGAAACGCTCCACCACTGGATCACAAACAGCAATTCTCCTCGTAGAAGAACCCAAGGGAAGCCCCAAATATGAAAACGAAAAAGACTCAACTCCGCAACCCAAAATAGCTGTCAGATCATGAATGTGAACCACCTCCCCCATTGGAACAATCACACTCTTGCCAATATTAATCTTCAGCCCAGAGACAACTTGAAAACAGACTAGTACACACCTCAAATGCCTCAAATGAGTCACACTCGCGCCGCAAAAAACAATAGTATCATCAGCAAACAGCAAGTGAGATGTAACAATCTGATTTGGCGTACGCCCCACCAAAAAACCTTGAATAAAGCCTAGTAATTCTGCCTTTTTCATGACTCTGCTGAAGTCTTCCATTACAATAATGAATAGAGATGGGGAAAAAGGATCCCCCTAACGTAAACCTCTCAAGCTTGCGAAGAATCCTGCTGGTGACCCATTCACTAAGATAGAGAAACGAGCTGTCGAAATATATTGATGAATCCACCCTCTCCATTTGGTTCCAAACCCCATCCTCTCCAACAAATACAATAAGAACACCCAATTCACATGGTCATAGGCTTTCTCAATATCCAATTTACACACAATCCCCTGCTCACCACTCTTGGGAAATGGCTTTGGCATTTCGGGGTTGAGAGGCGTTGGCTTTAGACGAAAGTTATTGCAAGCAAGTTTGGGGAAATCAGTGGTAGGTGGTGTTCTCTCGAGGTGCGTGGTCCTAGAGGTGTGGGGGTTTGGTCTTGCATTCGAAAGGGTTGGGACGTGTTTCATAATCATGTTCGCTTTCGGTTAAGGGATGGTAGGAGGATCAGATTTTGGGAGGACCTCTGGTGTGGGGAGCTTCCTCTTGCTCTCACTTTTCCTTGGCTTCACAGGATTGCTTCTGATAGGCAAGCCTTGGTGGTTGACTGTTATCACCTTGATAACGGAAGACTAACTTGGGATGTTCAGTTTAGGAGGCATTTTCAGGATTGGGAAATTGAGGAGGTCACTCGTTTTTTAGAGTTGCTGTATAGATAGGTGATTTCTCATGAGGAGGCTGATTGTTGGCTTTGGAGTCCTCACTCTCAGGGTCGATTCGAGGTGAGATCCTTTTTCAAGTGTCTTTCTATTGGGGAGGGTGGCTCTTTCCCTTGGAAGGCTATTTGGCGCTCCAAGGCTCCCCTTAGAGTGGCCTTCTTTGCTTGGACGTTTGTCTTGGGTAGGATTTTAACCCAGGATAATTTGAGAAGGTGAAAGCAGGTGGTTATCAATCGCTGTTTCTTGTGTCGTCGCGATGAGGAGACAGTCAATCACCTTCTGTTGCATTGCTGTATGGCCAGAGATTGTTGGGATATGATGATTGGGTTATTTGGGGTCCCCTGAGTTATGCCATGTTCTTCTAGAGGGTTGATTGAGGCTTGGAGAGGTTTCTCAATTGGGGCACTTATCAGGGATGCTTGGAGGGCGACCCCTCTATGTGTTTGGTGGTGCATTTGGCTTGAGAGGATTAGGAGATACTTCGATGGCAAGGAGAAGCCCATTTCTATGCTTAAGTTCTCTATTATTTCTACTCTCTTTTGATAGGTCTCAGGGAGAGATTATCGTTCTGTTAAGGAGATTGTTATTTTTTTGGCCTCTTTGAAGGCTTGAGGATTTTTGTGGCCTTTTCTTCTTGTTTCCATGGGTTTCGCTCCCCTTTGAGCGTTTTTTATAAAATTCTTACTTATCAAAAAAAAAAAAAAAAAAAAGAACTGGGTCAAGAATTTTCCTTCCTCCAACGAACGCATTTTGTGACTCCGAAATGACCCCATCCAAAACTTTCCTTAGCCTAATAGGCAAGATCTTTGCAATAATCTTATAAACAAAGCCCACCAAACTAATTGGTCTGAAATCCTTAGCTTCAACCGCTCCACCCTTTTTAGGTACAAGGGTAATGAAAGAGGCATTCAAACTCTTCTCAAAACAACCCTCGTCAAAGAAGGCATCCATGACTCTCATCACATCCGCTTTCACCACCTCCCAATTCTTTTGGAGAAAAGCAACTGTAAACCCGTCCAAACCCGGAGCATTATCTCCATCGCAGCTCCTTAGAGCTTCCAGCACTTCCTTCTCCCCAAATGGCCTCTCCAAATCCACCCTTTCCTCATCAGAAATTGCATCAAACTCAATATCATCCAACCGTAGTCTCCAAGAGGCAAACTCTGTGAACAAATCCTGGTAATACATGGTTAGTGCCGACCCATGTATACGCCTGTGTTCTCCATATTTCTCTCTTCCATTTTCCTATTTGCACTTATTATTTCCGCATTCAAAATTTCAACATTGTATCAAAGCCTAATTTCTCTTCCTAGATTCAGACCCCTCTTTTGGGGTATGCCCTTAGCATCTAAAATGTTGCTAAGGGTTTCTCAGTGCTATTTGTGACTTATTTGGGCTGCCGATTTGTTCGGCAGTAATGTTCTTCGCCTTTGCCGTGTCTCCGGCAGTTTTTATTGACTTGTTTGGGCTACCAGTGTGTTCGGTACCATTGTCTTCGTTTTTGCCGTGTCTCCGGCAATTTTTATTGACTTGTTTGGGCTGCCGATGTGTTCAGTAACATTGTCCTCACATTTGCCGTGTCTCCGGCAGTTTTTTGTTGACTTGTTTGGGCTATCGGTGTGTTCGGTAGCATTGTTCTTCGTCTCTTCTCTTCTCTCTTCATCATTCACACTTGTTGTTACTCGTCATCTCAATGACAAGTTGGGCATTTATGCTCCAACTTGAGGGGGAGTATTGAAAATTTAATGGCGGAATCAGTGGAGGAACATCTTTCAATAATTGGTGTAGTTTCCTATTATTGAAGATTTAGTGTTACTAGAGGAATCAGTGTAGAAAAATCCTCCTTGTTTCCTATTTTCTAATTCTTTCCATTCTCATAATTTCTTCTCCAATATAAAGGAGCCTCCACCATTGTATTGTATATGAATTAAGAGAGAATGGAACGAAGGAGATGTAGCCCCTTGGGCTGTGTGTCGTGGATGTAAGCCCTAGTGGCTGAACCATGTTATATTCTTATGTTTTTCATGTTTTAATTTCTCTCTTCAACTTTTATTTTTCTTTCAACATGGTATCAAAGCATCGATCCTAGATTTTGAGGGTGAGTATGGAAATTATTATCATGGAGCTTATTCTCTATTTCTTCACATTCTTTTCCCGGCGTTGTTCCGACTTTTCCCAGTGTAGTTCCGACCATTTCCCGGCTTAGTTCCGGTCCTTTTCCGGCATAGTTCCGGCTTAGTTCCGGCCATTTTCCAGCTTAGTTCCAATTTATTTTCTCCAACAAGATCTTGTCAATTTCCTGGCTTTGTTCCAGACACATTCTCATCATCTTTTGAGGCGTTTCTTTGGCAAGTTGGACATTCAAGATATTCATGCTCCAACTTAAGGGGGAGTGTTGAAATATATAAAATATTTCTATATAATTGTGGAGCAAAATCCTCCACCAATCACGGTGATCCGGGCAATTTCCTTCCAACTATAAATGTTTTTATATAATCATGGAGCAAAATCCTCCACCAATCACGATGCCCCTTTTGACTATTGACCTTTCATATTTTCTTATCTTTACCATGCCTATATATAGGCTCTTTGTACTCAAGCAATATACAGATCTAAATAATATAATGTAGCCCTTAGTGGCTCTTTGTCCATGGATGTAGGCCTTAGTGCTAAACCATGTATATGCCTGTGTTCTCCATATTTCTCTCTTCCCTTTTCCTATTTGCTTTTATTATTTCCGCATTCAAAATTTTAACAAGAAGATTGTTGATTTTTTGGGTTCCTTGGGTCCTTGGGATCTTTTCTTTGGCTACAGCCCTTGTATAGTATTGGGGACGTGTTCCCCTGTTGAAGGTTCTCTAATATATTCTTACTTATCAAAATAAATAAATAAGAAATAACCAAAAGCACAGAAAACTAAATATACAACTTACAGTAGGTGTTCTAGACATGCAATCTGCAGTAACATATCCTAAGGCCGATAAAAGTCCATGATGTGCTTCAAACCTAAAGAAGAATTTGAAACCAACTTCTTAGTCAGAAATACAGGTACAGTGACCTCAAATCAGAAATTACAATTTTAACAAATATCTAGTTATTGTGAAAATGTTGCATGAAATACAAAAGCACAAACCTGATCCATTGAACACCAAATGAGGAAATTAGTTCGCTTATAAGATCAGACGAAGCAGATATAGGAAGAGCATGGGAAGCAATTCCAAGTAAGCGTGCTACAGATTCACGAGTGTTGTAGTCCACATGACTTAGTAATTGCTTTAGCCATGAAATTTTCACAGCATAGCGTGATGGTAGCATCTACAAAAAAAAGATGATACTTCAAATAGAGAACTGTAAGAAAAGCAATATGAAAAATACAGCGTAAAAAAACTCATGCAATCAACCTCTGGTATTTTAGCTCCAATTGCGATTAAAGCATTGGAGGCATTAGCATGCAACTCAACAGAGCCTTCATACGCCATAGCATGTTCTAGCAGCAAACACGTATTTTCCACTGAAAGCCAAAATTCAGAGGCTTTTTCTACCGAGGTTTTTTGCTCCATGTCTGCCTCAAAGCACTTCAACAAAAATTTGATCATAGCCACATATGTTTGTGATGGGAAAAGAAGCTTCATTTCCCTCATCTCAGTGGGATCTAACAATGCCGGTTGCTGTCTAAGAATATAATTCAGCATGTCTCCAATCTTAGGGTACTTAATATCGAAATGGTCGTTAATAGTTCTCCTTTGATCTTTACCCAGAAACAAACCTTCAAGTGCCATTTCCCTACAGAAAAAAGAAGTCAGCAAGTGTATCCAAAAAAAAATATGGAAAAAGGAAAATAAAAAGAAGCAACAAATGCCATACAAAATCAACCAAAACTTCCTCCGGACAAAGAAATCAGATTATTAGTGCTTAGCTTACGGAGTAAGTTATTATAGCTAGGAAGCGTGGACACGCCCGAATCACTGTCGGACAAAGCCCGACACATGTTGTACACGCCAAAAGGTGTGTCTAGAATTTTTTTATTTTTAAATTTTCACACACAGCACAGATACGCCATGGGCACTTATCCGACAGGCAAATCGCATTGTTAGGGAGGTTTAAGAAAATTCTAAAAAGATAGATAAGCTAAAGTGTAAACATTATTTCTTTGAACATTTGTAATAATATGACGGTCATAACATTAAATATTTCAAGTTTTTTGTTTTGAAAACAACTACTATTTGTGGAGTAGATTCAATTGTGTAGTACTTTAACCGATAAACTAATTATTCTTTTAGCTCAATAAAGCCAATATGGATGACAATTTGAACTCCAATGTTTGATAATGTTGAAGCTTCAGCAGGGGGATTTTATAAGCTGCGTTTGTTGGCTCTCCTCAAAGATATCATTGTCCTTACATGGAGTTCCACCATCCTCATCTTCATGATGTGTATTATCTCTAGACTTAGTATCATCAAACATCACATTAACAGACTCCATGACACTGTGACCCAAGATAAAACACTACATAACATCACTTGTTGGAGAATAGCCCAGAAGAATACTGTCATCACCCCTATAATGAAGCTTACCTAAATTTTCTTGATTTCTTAAGATGCAGCATGTGACATTGTGGCACGAATTTTGTTTCGGCGGGGTCGCACCTGAAAAGTGAGCTTTGTGTGATGTTTTGGCACGAAATTTTGACCCGTTTTTTCCTTTGCGGGTCCTGGATCCTATTTAGTACTCTCTCGTAGTTCGGTATATAAGGGCGTTTAGCGTTTGGAATGGAATAAAGAGAGAATACTGAAAATCGCTGGAAAGACAGTGAGAGCTAGACTTTGGGGGCTGAAACTTGTAATCTCCTAATTTTCGCATGGTAAAATCTTTCACCGGATCTTCACCGTGGAGTAGGTACAACTTGTGTCGAACCACGTAAAACTTTGTGTCCTTTGTGTGGCGTGTTTATTTCTGTCATGATTCATGATTTGTTCTTGGTTGTCGGCATTTGTCGTAACAAACTAGTATCAGAGCATTCGGTTCGAAGCTGGGATGGCAACCAAGCATCTAGAAATCAAGGAATTTAATAGTAGAAACAATTTCAACTTATGGTGGGTTAGGATACAGGTTCCATTAGTTCAACATGGGTTATCCAAAGCGCTGAAGGGGAAGGATGTACTGCCGAAAAATATTAAGGACAAAGATGAGGTTATGGATAAAGCACACAGTGCGATTATCTTATACTTGAGTAACGAAGTTTTGCGAGAAGTTTCTGGAGAGACTACGCCAGATGGGCTATGAAACAAATTGGAGTCTTTGTATATGACGAAATCTCTTGCGAATCTATTTTATCTAAAGAAACGGTTGTTCAATCTTCAGATGCCCGAAGGTTCATCTCTAAAAGACCATCTTGACTAGGTAAACAGAATCATCATGGAGTAAAATAATATTGATTCGTCTCAGGCCATTATTCACTTGTGTTCTCTACCACTCTCGTATGAGAACTTTGTCAATACAATGATGTATGGCAGAACTGTGTTGTCTATGGAAGACTTGAAGGTAGCTTTGAATTCTAAGAAGTTGCAAAGAAGGGCGTTTGAAGGCAATACAGAAGGTTTGGGAGAGAGCTTGGTTGTTAGAGGGAGTATGAATCAAAAGGGAGGGTCTGGCAACAACGAATGTTTCAAGTCTAAGAACAGAACGAATGTGCTGAGATGCTATAGCTGTGATAAGGAAAGGCTTCAGGAAAAACTTTCTGGAGCATAAGGGAAAGAAAAAATCCTCTGAAGCCAGTGACGTGCTGTTGCAAAGGGTAATGATTCAAATGGTGGTAAAATTCTCACAATTTATGTTGGCGGCTCTGGCGATGAGTGGATTCTTGAATCAGGTTCCTCGAATCACATTTGTCCAAACAGGGACTGGTTTACCTCTTATCGGTCCACTAGTGGAGGGGAAGCTCTAATGGGAAACAATGTGTCGTGCAAGGTTGTAGGTCTCGGTACAGTTCGAATCAAGATGTATGATGGCATAGTGAGGACATCAGGCGTGTACCAAAGCTGAAGAAGAATTTGATTTCCCAGTGTACGCTCGATTCCAACGGGTGTAGTTACAAGGCTAGAGGAGGACTCATTCGGGTTTCAAAGGGTGCTCTTGCGGTGATGAAGGGACTGAACAAGCACGATTTATAAGCGATGCAGGGTAGCACAATCACGGGTTCAGCCGTAGTATCATCCTCGGATCTAGATTTAGTGCAATGTCTTAAATTTTTATTAATGTTATTTAATTCTTGTTATGATTGAGTTATACCTGAGCTGAATTTTATTTTATTTTAATAATATTCTTTGATGGATACAGTGATGGGTTGGAGAGGCCTTTTTCAGAAGAGGAAGTTTTGAAGGTTTTGAAGAGCTGCAATGGAGATAAAGCCCCGGGTCCTGATGGGTTCTTTATAAGATTTATGCTTGAGAATTGGGAGATGGTTAGGGGGAAGTGATGGATAATTTTCATGCTTTGGGGCGTTTTGAGAAGAGCATGACTGCTATGTTCATTGCTCCCATCCCAAAGAAGGGTGGTGCGTATGATGTTAAGGACTTTAGGCCTATTAGCTTGGTGGGTTGCATATATAAACTAATTGCTGAGGTCTTGGCTCAGAGATTGAAGTTGGTCTTGAACGGAATCATTTCAGATTCTCGAAATGCCTTTCTTGGTGGTCGCCAAATTCTTGATTCAGTCCTCATTGCGGGAGAGTGCATTGATTCCAAAAATAAGGAGTGGGGTTCCAAGTCTTTTGTGCAAGTTGGATATTAAGAAGGCATACGATCATGTTAGTTAGAACTTTCTTATGTATTTGTTGGAAAGAATGGGATTTGGTGAGAGATGGAGGAAATTTCTAATTCCATGTGCATTTCCAACGCTCGGTTCTCGGTCCTTGTGAATGGAATCCCGACAGATTTTATTTGGTAGCTTGAGGTGATTTTCTGTTCCATTTGGTGATGGAAGCTCTCAGCAAAATGATGACAAGGGTTGTGAACTTGGGCTTTTTGAGATGATTCGGGGTGGGGATGGATATTGCCAATCAAATGGAGATTTCTCATTTGATGTTTGCGGATGACACGTTGGTTTTTTGTGATGTGGATGCGTCACAGTTTTGATTCTTGAGATGCGTTTTGAATTGGTTTCAAGTCGTCTCTGCCTTGAAGGTGGATGTGGGCATGTGGGCGAGAGTGTTCTGGTTCCGGTTAGGGAGGTTCCTCAGATTTTAGGATGTAGAACTAGCTCCTTTCCCATTTCTTATCTTGGGCTGCCTCTTGGGACTCCATCTAAGTGGGTGGGAAATTGGGATCCTGTGGTTGAGAGATGTGAAAAGAGGTTTGCTGGCTGGAAGAAACAATACCTTTCTAAAGGGGAGAGGGTCACACAGCTCATCCAACGGGTCACAAGCGGGTCACAACGCGACTTGGCATCAAAATTCGGGCCACAACATCACAAAGTTGTATTGTGACAATAAGGCTGCTATTAGCATTGCCCATAATCCAGGTCAACATGATAAGACAAAGCACATTGAAGTCAATCAACACTTCATCAAGGAAAAGCTTCGTCTTGGGCTGATTTGTACTCCATACGTCAACACACATGATCACGTTGCTAATTTTTTTACTAAGGTTGTGAGCAAGACTTGCTTGCAAAATATGCTAGTCAAGCTGGGCATGATAGATATCTTTGCACCAGCTTGAGGGGGAGTGTTGTCAGGGGCTTATTTGTTATTACTATATAATATTAGGCCTTATGTGTAATTTCTTAAACTTGTTAGTATAAAAAGAATGTGGTGGAAGGATGAAAGTATTCTTTCATTCTTTCATCCTTTATGTGGTGGAAGGATGAAAGAATACTTTCATCCTTCCTCTTTTTCCCCATGTCTCTCTTTTCCTCTCATCCTCTTTCTTCTCTTTTTCTTCTTCTTCCTATACTTTACTCTTGATTTGATTATATCTTAAACTCAACATCATAGGCATGGAACGTAATAGTTTAGTGAAGAATGTTAACTGTCATGAGTGCAATCTTATGAGATTTGACTTTTCTATATTTTGATGTTCAGAATTTTTTTTTTTTTTTTTTTTCTTTTTTATAAGCAACATGTCATAGAAAAGCATGTTGAACCGGAAAGCGCATCCCAAATACAAAAAACAGGACCAAATAGGTTCTTGGGAGGAACTGTAAATATATAGAGGAGGTTGTGATTTTGTGGTTATTTTGAGAACTAAGAATAGAGAACTTAAGCACCCCAATAAGAGTATCCTCTCCATTGAAGGATCTCCTATTTCTCTCCCTCCATAAACCCCACCACAAGTACAAAGGGGCCACCCTCCAAGCATCACGGGCTTGAGCCCCCACAAAACAGCCTTTCCAAGATTTTGATTATGAACAATTATAAATTGGGACTTACATGGTATTTAACTTTCCGTTTATTATCAACGGTTCTTATGTTAATATTGTCACACTCCAAATAAGTGGGTGGGTCCAAGATGTGAGGAAGCAGAACAAGTATGACGACAAATATGCATCAGTTTCATACAAATATCAGCTGTGAAAATATATGAATAACTATAGGAAAGAAAGATGACACTAAAAAGTAGAAGTAACTAGATGATTAGGCCTAAATATATCCTATTAGATATAGAGTATGAAAATTTAAGCTACCGTATATCCAACTTGGAATCTGCTGCCCCAAGCATACAAATAAATCGGCTTGGACAATGCTGCAAGTCAAACAATGATGTTGCCCATCTCACAGCAGAGAAACGTACTTCACTTTGTTCCTTGTGAGAAAAAAAGAATAATAAGTCCATGTGTCTGACGTTTTTAGTGGAACCAGAATTGCATGTCACATACGAATGAAAAATTCCTATCCCCAAATAACATAATAGAGACATCCCCAAATAACATAATAGAGACATATCAAACAAAAGAAACATAAGGTCACTAGTGCGTAAGTCAAATCTACCACTTGAGTATTTTTCAGCAAAAGTGTCTCCAAATCCTTTAAGACTGTTGTGGGTGCACCCTGAAACTCAGGCAGAAAACCAATTACAAAGAAGTCAACAGACGGAAAAGAAACAAATAAAACTTGAGAAGCCATCTCATATGCACAGTAGAGCAAGATGTAATTCATGAGAAGAAAAAGATGATATAAATTTATGAGTACATACATGATCAAATTAATCTTGGTGTAATCCTATGTGAAGTAAGGAAAGAATGACCGAGGTGTGAATGCAGTATAAAAAAGAGTTTTTGAAAAATCAGTCTAACTTCATGAGAGAAAACACATTATGGAAGTTCGAGATTGTTATACAGTATTGTATGAGTTGTCACACGTGTACAGTTAGTATTGTATGAGTTGTCACCTACCCCTCATTACCATATATAGAATTACAATGTACAGGGTTTTCTTGTTCTCCACTCACCTACTCCCGTAGCTTCTCCTATATAAACACCATTCACCATTGTATTATTGTATTACTTACTCAATAACATATACGTTTTCATTTATTATCTCTCTCTTTCTCTCTCTCTCTCTCTCTCAACATGGTATCAGAGCGGAAATCGATCCCTCTTTAAATTTCTTTTGTCTTATTCAGACTCCGATCTTGATTCCATCTCGGCTTTCTCTCAATCTCTTCTCGGTGATCTCTCCTCGGTGATCTCAGTTCTCATCTCAGCAATCTCTCTCGGATCCCTCCACGGTTCTCTCCTCGATAATTTCTCTCGGGTTCAACTCAGCTAGATCTTGGTTCTCTTATCTCGGCTCCCTCTCACTACTATATCTCATTTGTTCGGCAGCTCTTGTGATGGATACTAAGGAATCCCATCTTCTTGGGTCAATCACCAGCACCAAACTGGTAAAGTGTGAGCGTGCAAATCAGCCCTCCTCCACCGCTACTATCGTTACTTCAGGTAATATGTGTCTCCATGCTTCATCTTCTACACCTTGGATCATTGATTCAGGGGCATCCGATCACATGACAGGTAACCCATCTCTTCTTTCTGATATTTCTCATGTTTTCTCACCATCGGTTGTTATTATAGCGAATGGTGCCAAATCACCTGTTCATGGAATTGGTACCTTCTGCACTTCGGGTCTCACTTTTTCATCATTTTTATATATCCCTCAATTTTCATTCAATTTATTGTCAGTTCACAAAATCATATCAGATTTAAATTGCTCAGTTACTTTTTCTCCTTCCCGTTGTGTCTTTCAAGATCTCAAGACGAAGAAGACGATTGGTGGGGGGTTTGAGAAGCATGGTCTTTACTACTTCCAGCCAACTACTGCTCCGACAACTCTACATTCCACTCCCTCTTCAGCTTACCAGTGGCATTGTCGCCTTGGACATCCCTCTTCAAATAGTCTTCGAGCCTTGGTCCCTTCTTTAGTTGATTTTTCCAAGTTTAATTGTACTACTTGCGAACTTAGTAAACATAGTCGGGCTACTTTTAAGTCTCGTTTTGATAAAAGTTTAAAACCTTTTGAGTTAGTACATTCGGATGTTTGGGGACCAGCTCGTACTAATGGACAGTCCAAATTACAGATTATAACTAAAAAATACCAAAGCTATAATAGAAGGAGGCGTAGGGGTGGGCTTGATAAGGGTGCATTTGCACCTACACCAGCCAATTTTTTGCTAATTTTTCTCTCGAAGACAAGATCAAAAAAGTAACATCCATAGCAAGCCAACCATCACCTTTAATGAAGACTAAGATAATTGAATGCCATAACACTGTAGAACATTTACTGGCCATTATGGTATAGAATAAGTATCCTACCAAGGATTCTATGTCCATGTATAATGTATTTACAATATCCAAGAGAAAGCTCCTACAAAGTTAACCTCAAAGCTTGATACAAGTTCAAAAATAGAAGAGAATGTCCCTTAAATTGTCGATAATACGATTCAAAAGAGATCATATTTTTGACACCACGACAGGTGTGAAATAAGTAAAAGCATTGTCTACTTAAAACAGTCTAAGAATACCCAAATTCTTGCCTCAAGGGAAACCAACAAGGGACATTGAGTGAAATCAGTGACAAGAAAGTATTAATGGTCTTTAAGTTGAAGCCCACTCTAAGAAATCTAAAGAAAAAGACCATGAAATTGGTGATGGAAATGAAACCTAATCCTTTTTTTCCAGCTCTCACTGTTACTGAACAAAGCAAAAACCAAGAGACCTTAAGCCAAAGTGATCATTTGCTTTTTCCAAGCCAATTTTTACATAAATATCTTCCTTCCTATGAGTACTCTTCCACACACTAGTTTGATCCATAAATGACATCTATTATTTCTATCTTAGCAATAGTACTAGGAAAAAGTGAAAAAAGCTATTCCAGGATACCTATTTGAAGAATTTAGCATTGATTTTGTAGAGATGGGTGATGACAACCATGGGACTAAAATCCATATATATCACATATTAACTCCAACAAACTGAAAAAAATGAGTGTAAGAATTATATCTGAAACAAACTGAAATGAAATTGGATACCCTGTATGCAACAGCAAGGGAATTGGTCGCTTCTTGGATAGTTAGACGAAGAAACTGAGCCTCCAATTTCAGAGCATTGAAAAGCCGAACAGCCATGTCAATCTTATCTCTAATAGAAAAAGTGATGGCCATGAGATTACACATTTAAGAAAAAGGTAACTGAACCCATTGAATGCTGCTGAAACAAGACAATACCTAAAAAGTTGAGGCATTCTTTGTGCAAGCAATCCAATTGCTTGAAAGGCAAAGGTTTTAGTGTCCCTAGCGATAGCATCTGAATGAATGTGACAATTTGTATCAGTAAATAATTCTCTAATGCTTCAGACAAAATAAAAAAGTATAATAGTTTAGTGAAGTTCAAATAATATTAAATTGCATTACAAGTGAACCTGAGTCCAAAGTAGAATAACGATCAAGAGACTTCAGAATTGCAGTTAGTATAACAGGGCCCATAAGCTTCAGCTGTTCCACTTTCGCCTAAATACAATTAAAAGAAGTGACAGGGAAAAAGAATGTCAAATAATCATTTTTAAAATAATTTGCATCCAATAAAATAACAACATGGAATAACGAGGAAAAAAAATACAAAAAAGAAAAGGACATCAGTTTTAAAAAAAAGTTTTAAGGTCAAAAAAGAAAAGGGCATCAGTTTGCAACTCGCTCATGAAACATTAGAAGAAAACTTGATAAAAATATTGCACTAGAGAGGCAATAAGATTTTTTTCCTACATCTATAAGTGCTCAGGTGATGAGATTTCAAGAGCTTTTGTTTTCTCTATACTATCGAACTCCAAGAATAATTTAGATATGAAAGAGACAGAGTGACTGAGGAAGTGACTGAGTAATGGATTGAGACTTGCTGCTCTCAGCTTTCTACCTTTGCTATTAAGGAACGGTTATGCTTTTAGAAGCCATTTTTAACAACGCTGGGTCTCAACCCATACGGTGAAAGAGTGGGATCCCAATCCTCCGAGAATAGTTTATAGTAGATAGGAAAGAGAAATAGTAGCCATTTTTAACAACGCTCGATCTGGCTTCATATGGTCGGAGAGTGGTATCTCAATCCTCCTAGAATAGATTATAGTAGATATGAAAGTGAAAGAGTGACTAAGGAATGGATTGAGATTTATTGCTCTTAGCTTTCTACCTTAGTAATTAAGGAACAGTGGTACTTTTAGAAGCCATTGCTAACAGTGCTCGGTTTCCCTTCTTATAGTGAGAGAGTATGTTAAACTTTTAATCACTATATTCATTAATTAAATAATGCCTAATGGCCTTCAAACCCTCTGAGCTGGTTACATCCCAATTTACCGGGTTATGAAAACCCACAACATATCAGCTGTAACGTGCCGGCTTTTTTTTTTTTTTTTTGATAATTAAGATTTCATTTAAGGCGCTCAAAAAGGGAGCACTCCCAAGAACAAACACAAAAAGCCAACAAAGGCCAGACCACAGCTCCATCTTGTACTCTCTTAAGGTTCCCAAAATCATATTTAGGCTTTTAGGCTAGGACCTATTGTTTTGGAGGCTAGAACAATAAGATTCAAGGGTTATTTCTCATATCTAAGATATCAAGTCAATTAGATTTCTTATTCGGGGTAGTTTTAATTTTTGTTAGGAACTCTATGCTTGGTGGTGTCTTTGGAGGGAACGGAATAGGAGATCCTTTGATCATTTCAACACCATAGATTTATTAATGGTCTTCTTATACAGGAAAAGATATTAGAAACAAAGATCAAGAAGTAAAATATTGAGAGCTCTGTTGTTGTTGTATCTTCTCCTTTTTTTACCTGGAAAAAAACTTGCACCCACTTTGCCCTTATGGGGGACTTGAACCATCGACCTTCTACTTTGGAAGGTGAGGAACCCTCGGTGGTGAGAGCTTTTCGTTCACTAGTTAAGCTTTTCATAGAATATCATACCATATTGTGTGATTGAGTGGTCAAAGTATCAACCATAATATCCATCCATCAGAAAACAATGCGGTTAATCGCTAGCAACAGAAATCAATCACAACAAGAAGAGTGAATTGCGTTGGTTGTATTACTTTCTTTATAATGAATTGTTTCTGGCGGGTTAAATCCTACGGTTTTTCCCTTTGGGGTTTTCCACAAATCTCTCTCTGATTTACTTTGTTCTGCTTTATTATTTTACAATTTAATTGTTTTGTCAGATAATTGGTATCAGAACATATCAATTTCCAATTCTTCAGTAACAAAAATTGGCAAGTAATTCTGGAAATGTCATTGCAAACACACCCAAAATGTTTAGAGGCACAAAAGGGAGAGATTTTCCAATATGCTTGGTTGTTGATGTTTCGTAGAATAATAGGTATATTAATAAGATCCTTACATGCTTGAAAACCCAAACAGTGAATTCCATTCCCGCCTGCTTCAACCTTGAGGTGGTACCAATTCCTATTACAAGCAAAATTCAAACAAAGCTAAAAAAATTGCAGCATGTAGGCCGACAAATGAACAGAAAAGAAAAATATATCAAACAAAACAACAGAAATAATTAACGAAGATTAAAAAGAATAATAAAATTCCTAAATCAATAAATAAATATGATTCAAAAGAACAAAAGTGATATCATTTAGTTCTGCTACAGAATTAGCACGAGTAGGTGGGATAAGCTGAAAGGCAAATATTAACAATAACTAAGTTTTTTTTTTTTTTTTTTTTTTTTATAAGTAACAATAACTAAGCCTTTGTTCCTAAAATGATCAATTATCTCTTTCTATGTATTGCTCCAAGAATCATGCATAATATTTCCCTTTACTATCTTTGCTGATTTTTCATCACACAATATTGGGATTAAGGCTTGCTTAAGATGAGTTCAATTTAGTAAGCTAACTTTTATTACCCATTTACATAATCCACGGACTCGCCAGTTTTTGCAGTTTAAAATCTATAAAAGAATGCAAAACAAATACCGAACTCATCTTAAGCAACACCTCCCATTAGCTATGATGACACAATAGTTGAAGGGCAGCAGTAAAGTGGTGCTCTTGTAACTATTTATTACTGGGTTTTGTGGCTAAAGGTTGATGGTGATATGGGTTTTAAAAGTTTCTAAGTGTGAGAAAGGAGCAATGAATGGGTTATAATTACGCAAGCGAGACAAATTTTGAATGTGTTCTGGAATTCTGAACAGTACCCATCAAGAGTAGAGAGACTGTGGTGATGCATTTTCTGTATTCTGGGGTTTATTGATTGGGAAAGGAAGGGTTTGTTAGAAATTTAAAGGACTAGAAATATCGATGAGAAGAACATTAAAGTGGGATTTTTTAAGCTATGAATCCCTCCTAAAATACCTTGGGCATCAAACTTAAGACTTGGAATTGCATCAGATAATCCTCAGGGCACAATTTCCATAAAAACTTCTCTAAAAGAAATTATCCACTAAATTGGAAGCATTACATGGCTATATATAACGACATCCAGGCATATCTAACTCTCATATGACTTGCTCATATTTGGTAATTTAGAGACTTTTACTAGCAATAAACCTATTAAAAATTAACATATAATATAACTTGACCAAATATGTGACCCAAATATCACAACTACAACTCATGTCCAGAAGATCTCCAAATTACCAAAAGCATAAGAAAATATACTAAAAATTTCAAAACATTCTCTAGAATAATCATAGAATAGGACTCTAAACTAGACTATGTAAGATCCCAAGCGAACCCACTTTGAATTGCTCCACCACCACTAACACCATCAATGCCTTTTTCCCATATGAAATTTGGGTTGGGGGGGTGCTTGGCCGGCCACATGAATTCTCTTTCTTTCATTCTTTCTTAGTACAAGCCATGTCTCCTATTTTATTTTATTTTTTGAATTCATTTTTAAATATTTTGGAAGCAACCAATTTCAATTATTTATTTTTCATTTGAATTTGTATTTATTTATTTATTTTATTCTTATTCACCACATTGTACATTATGTAGAATGCATGCAAACAGCAACTGATTTAAAAGGCCAATAACTCATGTTGGTCTTATTTGTGCAATGCTTGGAGAGGTGAACGGGGATATAAACATACCTTTGGCATTACTTTTACAATCAGAACTAAAACCCAGCCCTTGCACTAGGCAGTCAAAACTTTTACCATGCACCAAGCAATGGCCCCTACTAATTGAATTCATTTACCAATATTTCAATGGCAATCTCTTACCAACATCAATCAGCCCATATTTGAGCATGATGAATCACTTCGTGCTGAAAGAAAGAAGCGAAAAAACCCTATATGTGTTATTAGTCAGGGTAAATTACACTGCCACCCCTTCAGGTTGGGTCAAATCTCACATGCATAAACATTTTGGTTTTAACTTTCACTCATATTTTGATGAATTGATCCGTATTTCACTCACATCCCAAATATCACTTTTCAGGAGTGTCAGAGTACTTTTTACATGCAAAATTACTATGCTACCCTTTTGACTTCCTGTTGACATACAAAAACAGTGTTTTAGGTATAAAATGACACAATTACCCGTAAGACTCATTTTAATTATTGACCAAAATGCCCCAAAATTAAACCCCTCTCTCTCTCTCCCTTCCTTCACTAACTCTATATTTATATATATATCTTCTTCTCTCACTAACTATATATATATCTTCCCTTATATATAAATCTTTTTTTCTCACTAACTATATATATATATATATATCTTTACCAAGAAGAGATACCTGAAGAGATATCAGGATGATTAGAGTGTTGGTTGTGAAAATACAATCGAAGAAAATTTAAGAAAGGAAGAAGAAATTGCTCGCTAAAGCTGGTATCAAAAAACAAAACTGAGAATGCTAGGCTGCAGCACATCAATCAAGGCGGTACTGTGAAGGCCGCTAATCCCTTCAGAAGTCCTTCTATTTATCTTGATGGAGCATCTGTTGGAAGACGGAGAGAGGTGTTGGGGGCATGTTTGGTGGGTTTGTTTGACAAAGAGCTGGGAAGCTGTGGTCAGATCCCTGAATGGGCTGAACGAGCATGGAATATCTCATGTGGGGTCGGAGTTTCGCCGCTTCTCTTCTTCTTTTTCGACTCCCCTCACAAGCTGAGGCCAGTAGGGTTCTGAGGGAAGGGCATCGTGATTGGGGAGGCGCTACGTTCAGGGCTTGGAATTCCGGATCAATCAAGGGCCCTCATTCTAATTACAATGGTCAGCCCCATTCCAAAGGCTCTCGTAAAGGAACAAGGCCATACGAGGGAGAGTCGGAGTTTCATGCAAGTGACGAGTTGATGCTTGGTGCTTCAGGACGGGATGTGCGGAGGTGCTGAGGGAGAAAGGCCTGAAAAGGATGATGGTGTACGGCCTGCCCTCCACCTTTGGTGTCATGCTCTCTTTGTGACCATTGGGGATCTTTGTGGTGGCTTTGTTTGGGTGGATGCTGATGAGACACGGGATGCCGAGATCATCCGTATCTTGGTGAGTGACGGTCCTGAGTGCCCGCCGGCAGTCTTCGTTCATGATGATAGATTTTGCTATAAAGTGGCTGTGTGGGAGGAGCTTAATCCGGAGCTGGTACCAACGACAGAGAGTTTGGAGGGAGGTGATGGTTCCCATTTGTTAAGTGAAAAGGACTGGTGGATCATGATGGCGAAGGGCCAGGGATTTGATCAGAGAAGATGGAATGGTCTTCACATGCGGCTAGCGCGTGGTTTCAGTGGTGTTAAAGAGGGGACACGTGGTTGGCATGCAACGGTCTCTAAGGATTACGCATCTGTGGATAAGGATAGGGATAAGGTTTCCAGATCTTATGGTTTGAATTGTAGTTGGAGGACACGCGACCTCTCTTTCAAAAGGATGGGCCGTGGGTCTTATGTTCTTCCCACTCGGGTTGGGCCACATGGACATCACGTAGGCTCAAAGGCGTTCAGGCTCATGAAGGATGGGGGCGCTCATCCGGCCCGCATGCAGTCCGGGCCTCACTCGGACATGTGAACAGGTTCTTGCACGATAATGTGGGTGTTGGGCCAAGTCTTTTGGCTCGCCCTGCCTCGTTTGAACCACGAAGGAGGCCCAATGTTATTTCCACTCACCATCAAAGGAGGCCCAATGTTAAATCCACCCACCATCAAAGGAGGCCCAGTGTTATTTCTAAGATGTTTGGGCAGCATTCTGGGGTCCTTAGGGATCGATGTGTTGGGCCTGTCCTCAGCAATTCGTTTGGGCCTCTACAGGATGGACCCCTTTTAGGGGATAATGACGAATGTTCTTTGGAGGGCTCAGTTCGATGTTCTGATTTAAGGCCTCCTTCGGTTCAAGGACATAGGGGAAACGCCAATGGCCATTTGGATGAGGTGCTGCAAAGACCGATTCACTCCCGGACTAGAGGTTCCCGATCGAAGAGGCAGAGATGGTCCCGATTGCACAAAAAAAAAAAAAAAAGGGGGTTAAGTCCACCAATACGTTCCACACTCCTGGTATGTGCTATGACTTTCCTTCAAAGCTCTCTTCCCTCTCTACTCCTTATTCTACTCTTTCTTGTGGAGTGTTGAGGAGGGTTGATGGGATGGTGGATGGTGGTTTGGAATCGGGTGTTCATGTTTGTCGCCAGTAGCTGAAGTGCCAGTTGATGAAGTGGGTTCCAAAGAGAGACGTGAGGTTGATGGTGGGATGTCGGTTTTTTCAGAGTTCACAGGGACCGCTTCATGCTCTGAGACAGGAAGCGAGGGAATCAAAGGTGGATCTCTTATGCTTATCCCAAGTGGTGAGGCCGATGGCAGTGTCATTTTGTGTATTGGTCAAGGGACTCAATTGCTGATTGATGGTAGGACTGCCAATTCTCTGAGAGCTGTTTTGAAACTCCATTGGTCCGGGACTAAGCAAGGTGCTGTTGAGTCGGGTTTGCAGGGTTCCGGGTGTTCAGATCAAGGAAGGTCTCTCTGTCCATCTGATGCCAGGGCCAAAGGCTGATGCTCTGGGATCTGATGCGATGCTTCATTGGGCTGGGAACAAGATCAATTTTGCTGAGATGTGCTTGCCGGATTCTGGTTTTGCAGAACAGGAGGACTCTATGTACATCTGAGGCTTGGGTTCCGAATGGCTCTTGTGTTCTGTCAGTGACACCTTAACTGTGGCTGAATGCACTTCCGCTAACCTGGTTATCCCCCGCCTGTGTGGGAGAATGGGGGTACCATTGGGATTGATACTCCATTGGCAGTCATTAGGGAGGTGCCGATGGCTACCAATCTGGAAGGGAGTGATGGGGAGTGGTTTATGGAGTGCATTGGAGGTACTAGTAAGTTGTTGGGTCTATCATGTGCTGGGGAGGAGAAGCAATCTAATGACATGTTCCAAGCAGTTGATGATGAATGGGCACAGGTGAAACATACAAGGTACCCAAGTGGGAAGGGGATGAGAGAACTGAAGAGCCTGTTTTCCTGTGTTAATTATGAT